CTACAGCTGCACCATAATGATTGTTCAGGAGGCCATCTGGGAGTTAAACGAACTCTACTGAAGAACCGAGAACGGTTTTACTGGGTCCACATTTGGTTTAATTTCAGCAAAATAAATAAGCAAGACGAATCAAATGCGAAGCCCGAAGTAATCACATTTTATGACGGTACTAAGGGTGGAGTGGATACTGTTAATCAGATGAAAGAAGAATATTCTGTGGGCAGAATGACTCGGAGAATGACAGAATGGCCAATGAGATTATTGTTTTCAATTTTGAATATTGGCGGGATAAATAGTCACATACGCATTGAGGCAGCGCGGCGGACACTTCCATGCCCTAAAACCCTCTCAGAAATGAGGGTAGGCCTGTGCCGAGCAGTGGGACGTATATAGTCTGTAACTTTACTTTACTTTACTTAAATAGTCACATTATTTACACAGCAAACACTAAAACTGTCTTACTGCGTAGAATGTACCTAAAAGAGATATCCCTTGCCGTGGTCAGACCACATTTAATGAAAAGATCTAGCAAAATGACATTCCTGAGCTCACTAGAAGACAAATTGCTCACTTTGTACCAATGGAGAGCCAAGAAACCCATGAAAAGCAAGAGGGAACTCAATATGTCTTACGAGAAAAAATCGACAAACAAAAAAAGGGTGCAAAGTATATGCTAAATTACTTTGCAACGAGCACTGTATTTACCTGTGTAAGGGTTGTTTTTACGAGGCATAGGTCCAAGATGTCTAAAGAGTGTTTTTTTTTTCTAATTTCTTACGGTGTTGTTTTTTATATAAGAGATTATGTGAAGTCATATTTTGTTACATTTTTTTGAGAATAATTTGAAGTTGATTTTTGAGACTGAATTAAAAAGTTTGATTTTTCTAAAAGCTTATGTTTTATTTAAGGCTAACCTTTTCTCATTTATAGTAAATTTAAACAATTAATATGTAATATTTTAGTTTTCTAAGAGCGGCAAAATGCTATACACGCGCCCACTTACGTTTCATGAAAAGGCGCGCCCACTGTGGGGAGAATTAAAATACAAATGCGTTGTCACCTCTGAGAACCACGATGAAATGATTCGTTTCCAGTAAAAAGGATTTCCTGTTCTCTACAGTCACCATACGAAACACAGCAGTATTAAGCTGCTATTTTATGCTAGTATTCTATGAAAGCGTAGTCCTTCAACGGTCAAGCCGACTCATTCGTGCTACAACCATAATATAGTTGCAGCGTAGCTCTACCACGTAATAAAATTCTTCTATATACTAGTTTTTTTTTGCAACGACTTCAGAAGCTCTTTTTTTCGACATAATTTTATTATTTTCAGGTCTTTAAATTTGCTTTTACTTTTTTTAAGTTTATGTTTTTAATCTAACGTCCATGTGCATTATAATATAATTGTACCAAATTTCAATTTTCTTTGCGAAACATTTTTAACAAAACCATTTGTAGTTCCGATAGTTATTTTGCACCGGACCACGCGAGGGAAGCGGCGGGAATAAATTAGCTAGCTAATAAATCATGAGTTTCAGATTTAAAAAACTGCCAGTTAATTAATATCGGGTTTTTTTTCTAGTAGAACACGTTTCTAAATTTACGTAATGTTAAAATTGTTACTACCGTCAAAAAACTTTTTTACAAGGCACGAGATGTCTTGTCGTTGAGGTATAAAATTATCCTTGAACTCGTCGTACTGTTTCTCATATATATATATATATATATATATATATAGTTTCTGTATACATTTTATGTGCATTGGTTTATAAGGGGAAATAGAAAAATGTCACTAACTTTATACGTAACTGTATAAGTACAAAAATACTGACACTTTCACTTCATAGTCTGTCCTAAAGAAGAAAAATTAAGAAAAAAATAATGTGAAAACGGCATTTGGTTCGTTACTAACGACATTCGGGTTTATTTAGATAAATATGTATATACATTAAATAACATTGAAGTGTATGCCTGTAACACCGAAACAACTGCATTGTATTGAGTTAAGGGGATTATTTGCGTGCTAATAAGATAACATAAACACTCACGCCTGTCACCCAGAAGGGTAGGCAGAGACTACAGACTTCCATTTGGAACGATCGTGACACACCTCTCTCGCCTCCTCCACACACGGTATATGGAATACCTACGCATACATGCTCATCGATTAATGATACTCCTAATTTGGCCCGTTTTCAATAAATCGCTAATTTGGTCGATATATTTTCGTTTGGGACGTCGTTTTCCGACTCTGCCATTCACTTCTGCAACGTAAATTTTCTTTGTCACTCTTTCCTCATGCATTCTTTCCAAAGCTTTGTCCACCAAATTGGCGATATACTAAAAGTGGGCCAAATTAAGAGTACCCTTAACCGACGAGCATGTATGCGTAGGTATATGGATGTGGAAGAGGCGAGAGAGGTATGTCAGGATCGTGCTAAATGGAAATCTATAGTCTCTGCCTACCCCTCTGGGTGACAGGCGTGAGTGTTTATGTTTTTTTTCTTTCCACATGACCAAACCACCGAAGCATTCCTTTCTCTTGCAAACCACTCTCTACTCTTATCACACAATTTCTCACCCTGTCATTCAGATTCAGCGTGCTAATAATAAGACTAATAATTTTATCTGTCTGTCCGGGAAAATTTTTTGAATGGCTGAAGCAATTGCAATGAAAGTTGGCATTAATTTATCCGAAAAACTAAATAACATCACACCAATAGACCTAGGCGAAATTGAAGCGGGTCGCTATATATAATATTTTATTTTGGACGTTTTTCTTTTTCTTTTTTATCTATACTCGTACTTGATTGGTAGAGATATTAAAGTTATATTAGTATAGTATTTTAAAGGTTAAAAGGTAATATAATCAATAACATACAAATCTAGCATAGGTACCTAATGTTTCTAAAGGACAGTCACACAGGTGTAGCTGAATTCGCTATCAAGATGAAATGGTCGCTGTAATGCACACGATGCAGAAGAGAGGTTAACGTCTGGCTCATTTAGAATAGAATATTATTTTTAAAATACAATTTACAACACATTATTTTGCACAATTAAATATTGTAGCATTAACATAAATTCAGTAAACATTTTGAAACAGCATGGTAGCAGCAGGACTAGCGTGATATGGAGAGTATATGGTTTTTATATAATATTGAAATCTGTCAAGTGCTTTATAATTCGTTGAAGACAAATCTCAGCATTGTCACACAAACAGTAGCATTAAGCTGCTATTTCACGCTGGTATTCTGCGAGAGTGCGATCCTTTCTGCGTTGATCCGACCTGTCCCAGCCATAATAATAATATAGCTGCAGCGTGACTTTACCATGTAAACTACTCGCGAGTTTACTAAGGAGAAGAAGCAGCAATGATGTATGTACCTTCGCATCACTTTGTATGACATATTAATTATTACTAAAAAAAAGTAAAAAAGTAAAGTTACAGCCTATATCCGTCCCACTGCTGGGCACAGGCCTTCCCTCATTTCTGAGAGGGTTTTAGGGCAAGGAAGTGTCCGCCGCGCTGCCCCAATGCGTGTTGGCGAACTTCACATGTCTTCGATGTATTTTTTTCTTATTCCACAGACATGCAGGTTTCCTTCACCGCCGAGCACTTGGTATATCAGCACTTAAAATTGCAATTAACAATTTCATTGGTGCCGGTGGGGATCGAACCCGGGTTACTCTCGTTCTGTTATATATACAGCGAGCGTTAACCATCTTAGCTACCACGGCTCTTAATTACTAAATTTATTATTACTAAACTAGGTATCATTATAAATAACATTGTAATTTTATTGGTGAAACTTTAAATAAATATTATAAAATAATAAAGCAATAATGAAATTTAGCTTTATAAAGTTATGATATGTCACGAAATACTAATTGTGCACAGCGTGCAAAGCTAAAAAAAGCTAAATATGATCCATCCCTGTAATTAACGCTAAGAACTCTAAAGAGTTGGTTGATTTCATGTAATAATTTTGTAACGATTTCTATATTTACACGTATACTACACATGGAATAATACGAGTTTTATGGATTTTATAACTTAAAATTTTAACTTTTTAAACAAACTTTCGACGTCGTTTTAATTGACAACAATATTCAGAGAAAAGATACCGATAGCATAGATAAGGATAATATTGTAGAAGCTGCTACGTGTGTTACAACGTGTTGATCAGGCGTCCGCAGAAGAAGACGATTGTGTCTGTGAGAACAGACAATTCAAACATAGTCTCTTACCTCAGATAGTAATATTGTAAAGGTCCAGCTAGGTTTTTGCTGCTTCTTCCCTAGACGAAGGGTATTTCCGAACCAGTGGTAACTGTAAAAAAAATACCTTAAATGATCATTACTTGTAATCTATATTGAATATAAATTAATTATTCCATTCTATACATATTATAAGCCCCATTGTCTCTCCGTGCCCAGTAGTGGAACGTATGCAGTAACTTTACTTAACTTTAAATACAAAGCCAAGCATACCTACCACTGCAAGATTTCCATTCTGCGTAGACGAGACCAAAAATTATTATTCAAAAACTTAAGGTCAAATACATAATAAGTAAAAATTAAACACTAAAAAATCCGTTAAACCAGCCAAATTAGATAACTGAATTTCTTAAATCAGGGGTTTGTCTTTTATAATGCTTACATACTGAACATAAAAACTATATAGCTAGATATAAGTAACAATATATAAGTAGGGTCAAGGTAAATCCAAGTTCACATTATCGGGCTAACGTCTTAACATGCTTCTGTTGAATACTAAAAAAATTGAAATAACTACAATAGTTAATGTTATTTGGTGACTATACAAAAATGAGTCTTATGACAAATTCTTAAATTTAGCGACAATAGAAACTATAAAACCGGATAACAACTTGGCGTGCAGCTTTGTGCGTGCTTGTGATTCTAGCGGTGACCATTTGTTAGAGCTGAAGAGTGGAATTATAAAAACAGTTTAAAATAGTGTAACTTTTAGGTTTAAAATGTTTTCTAAATTGCTGGCTGTATGTTTTGTGCTATGGTTTATTTACGATCAATGGAAATCCAGAAGGATATTGAAACTGTCCCGGCAGTTAAGAAATAAGTATAAAGCTTTCCCGATTGTCGGACATGCTTACTTGTTAATCGGTTCTGATACAGGTGATATGTAGAATTTTTTACGACTCACTTTAACCGACTTCTAATAAGGAGGAGGTTCACAATTCGACTGTACCTTTTTAATGTGTTTTCGTTGATTTACTCGTTGCGCAAGTTACGTGATATTTTTGCTAATTGTTAACCGATTTTGACAATTATTTTTAATTAAACAGGTTATTTAATTCGTAACACAAAAAAGAGGGAAAAAAAAAAGTTTAAACAAAAAAAAAAAAAAAAAAAAGCATAAAAAAAAAAAAAAAAAATGTTAATAAAAGAGGTATAACATCTTATAGTCTTTTCAAATTGGCCTTTACTTTTTGTTAAAAGGATTTTTTAATTTCTTTTAAAATTAATTTTTATTAAACGTTTATTTTTTAACCCTAAAATAGTGGAATTATTTATTTTTTTAAAGTAAAAAAATACCTGCAGGTCTGCAGTAAGACCCAGAGCTCAACAGGCGGCGTCCTGTTTCCCCTTTTATCGCACGGCGGGCAGAGTCTTTAAAATTAGTAAACTATGTGTCTGCGCACCTGAATCAATAGTGGGAACGACAAAACAAGGGCTTTGATGTTGAAGTGAATTTCAAGTAATTTGTTTCTCTGGCGGATTAAGAACTAACTATTTAAAATTTGAAATCAATCCCATTTTTTGTCGAATTGTCGGGGTTCGACCAAACCCACTCTCTATGGGGTCGCTTCTGGAATAAAAAGTTCATCATAAAGAATGCCTCTCTCTATGGAATTGGCCAACTGCTAGCCCCTTGGGTTCCGTTGCCTTATTTAGAATTTCCCTACCATTCTCTCTCCGCTATCCACCAATCCACCACCATATACATCATATATATATATATATATAGATATATATGATGGTATATGGTGGTGATAAACCACAAATACTCGCAAAAGAACACCAATTCCAACCAAGAAGGATACGCGAGGCTATTGCTCCCCGTGAGCATGGGTGCTGTAAAGTGCCTGAAACGTCGGGAATAAAAAATAAGTTATTAAACGCGATAAATCCGTAAATATAAAAAAACAACTCAAAATAGGGTAACGCAATTTTTCAATTTCACGACAATGTAAATTTTAAAACTTTTTGAAACTGCAAATGGGAAGTATAATATGCCTACTGCCAAGCTCATATGATTCTTGCAGGTAGCCAAAGAAATTGTTAATAGCTCTTTTAAAATTTGTTTAACCATATTGTAGGTACTTGCCGGTTAAGAATAAAATTATAAACAAACCTACTTAATTAAAATTTAATACAAAAATTGCACATCATCTTCTATCGATGACATTGGTTATATATTGTCCTTTTTTCACTAAGATATTAAGGTTTATACATTTTTATAAATTTTATTACGTTATTCTTTATTATTTTGGTCTACAATTATATCATTAAAGTACATAATTTTATATTATTTAATTACACGATCACCCATCGCCACCATTGAACGAATTCGTCCCTATACTTCGTACTCATACTTCAGACTATTAATCATAACTTTTGATAGGATGAAACGATTTTAATAGAACATGGATTAAATGTAAAACGAAGAAACGTTTCACAATTTTCCTACCGAATATTTTGATATAAACCAGTACTTTATACATGTACTTTAAACATGTTACAACGGTCGGTACGGGTGAAAAGGTTTTGGCTCGTCTGACTGCTTCCACTGGGACTATTGAGTTTTAGTTTCGACGTCATAACCGTATACCTATATTATACCGTCACCTGTTATGACCAAAATAAAAAAAATCGAAGTTCAAACGGACGTAGCTCGCAGAATTCGAAAAGTCGCCTTTTTTATAGAATAAGGGTAGAATAAGGTGATGGTAAGTGGATGTTGTGGCCCATAGACATCTACATTTATCCTCGATTAAGAATCAAAACGCAGATGCGTTGTTACCCTGAGGACTAAGATGCAATGCCTCATTTACAGTAAAAAAGGCACTCCGGATCTCTAAACTCACCATACGAAACACACCAGTATTAAGCTGCTATTTTCGTATTCTGTGAGAGTGTGGCCCTTCCCCGTTCGAGCCAATCAATTCGTGCTACAACCATAATATAGCTGCAGCGTGGCTCCACCACGTAACGAAATAAATCATTATCATATAAATTATGGCGAACATACATAATCATCATTATTATAAAGATATATTAGACTAGAAACTTATTTTATAATAATATATCATCAAGGCGTTTAGCACATATCTTATAGATAGTCAACACATCCAGAAATATTACTTGATTCTTTTCTTTTCTTTAGTAAAAATCTGTTATTGAACATGGATCAGATTTGGTCGTATCGGAAAGAATAAGATTTCATGTTCGCCAACCAAACCTGGCGGTTGGTTTGGTTGGTGAATTAACAAATTCTTGAACAATTTAATGAAGCGATTGGACACAGAATACATCAGAGATTGCTTTTTTTTCTAACATTGGTGCTTAGCTAAACGAGAGAGTATAAGTTTATGTCGTTTGTATATGTCTAAGGGGCCGATCATGTAATCCTCAGGTAAAAATTATCCACCAATAAACTATTACCTGGCTAAATATAAAAGTGTAATTATTGAATTGCTATATTCAAAGAACTGTAATTTTTAATTTGTCTGTGTTGTATTTTATTCTATGAGTAACTTTTGTCTGACGATTGAAAAAACTTATATTATATGTAAATCTATATTTTTTTTCTTTCAGAACGTATGAGCTCATTTAAGGCTTTAGGAAACGAAGCGATATTAAATGGAGGCATAACAGGGGCTTGGTTGGGCCGTCATTTCTACATTGGTTAGTTTGGTTATCACATTATTAGCGAGAACTAGCTTAAGGTTTTGAATAACTTGTCATCATTAAGGTAATATTATTCAGCTGCTGGACATCATAATTTTATTCCCTGCTGAACGTGGGCCTCTTTATCGTCTCTGCGGTCATCACGCACAACATCAGTTAAATTTACCTAGTCGGACTATTTGTACCAGGTAAACGTACTCGTCAATAACTTCAAGCTTAGTGGTACCAACAACCACCAGCATAGGTGTGACATAGACAATACACATGATCTTTGTTTTGTTCATGTTCATCTTAAGACCTATGCATTGGGAGACACTATTGAGGTTATTAAGCATAGTGTTTAGCTCCTTCAGCGATTCTGTAATAAGGACTATATTGTCGGAAAATCGAAGGTGAGTGATGTACTCACCATTGATGTTAATACCGTATTCTTTCCAGTCCAGTAGCTTGAAAAGGTCTTCCAATGCAGCGGTGAAGAGTTTCGGGGATATAACGTCAACCTGTTGTACTATTTTAGGAATAAATTTACAATAAAATACGGATTAAATAGCAGGAAGTTTAATCGTCCAATGCAGTCTAACAATCATTTCCCTACCCGCTTATATTATATTATTATCACATTTTAAAAACACCACAGTTCCCTCTACCAACAGTAAAGATATAATTCTCTAAAAAATTCGTAAAATGCAAACTATACTTAGTAAATAGGATTCTTATTTCTAGTAGAACGGACACCCATTAAATGCTCTGTGACAGCCTGGTTGGTCATGGCCTGTACAGAAACAGATTCCGGAAGAGCTGAGTCTATCAAGACATTATCAGCCACACTAACTGTATCACTCGATGTAACGCTAACGGTCCTCTCCTCCCCTAGTTCAAAACCGGCGGCAATGGATCGCTATTTAAGGAATCGTTCAAAGAATAAGTACTTTAAAAGGTGTTTTGAATATTTTGTTCTTTCCCTGTATCCAGGGCAGTTTCAGAAGGTGTATAATAATCTATAACGTCATTATCGGTACAAGAAATATCCGTATTTGAATAATCTTGTAATATGCAATCCATACTATCCATACTTCCATATAAATATTATAAATGTGAAAGTGTGTTTGTTTGTTTGTCCTTCTTCCAAAAAGCCGAGGGCTTTTTGGAAAGGGGAAGGTTCAAGGAAAAAAAATAAAGTTTGTCCTTCTTTCACGTCGCAACAGAGCGTCGGCATGGCATGATTTTTGTATGGGAATAGTGCGGTGGCTGTAGAGCGACATAGGCTACTTTTTTCCGCAGAAAAACATCTCATTCCCATAGGAATATCGAATATGTTGCAAAATTAAATTCAGCTAGGTAGCGCCACCGTGATTCTACAAGACGGACGACGCGACGGTACGATGGACGAACACAGAAGGTCATAATATCTGGATTATTATGTCTTTTTATCAAAATTAAGGTAAAAAATGTATGAATCTGTATTTTTCCACGCAGGACCAGGTAGACAACGATAAAAAACATTAAATTCACCAGCTGATTTTCTTCTAACGTTTTGGTGCATTGTAATTCACAGAATAGGCGATACCCTCGCAGACGATATTAAGTAATCCGTTGATGCTCTGCCTACCCCGCAAGGGTTACAGGCGTGATTATAAGTAAAGATTAAAATAATCACCACTGTCACGCTTTCACCCTTAACTATTACTTAACTGTGGTAGAAACAGTTCTTAGTAAGCCTTATTAATAAGCCTTAGTAATATTTATTGAACGGAAATGAATACAGTTCTTATATGTGGTTATGAATGAATCGGTATTACAATAAGAAAAATTGCGCAAAATTATAAGAAAAATATTTTTAGAGAGTTCTTATACTAACGTATACATAGTTTAAATTGATTCCGCTAGATGTCGTTACGAGGTTTTTAAAACTTGGTAACGAAATGTTTCCTGACATATACTTACCTTCCGCTCTTGAGCCGCGCGTCAACTTATAGGGCATACGGTACCTATACGCTTAAATTGTTTCTATTTCGTAGCTTATTCGACTACCTGCTTTCGATTTCGGTTGTTTGTTATTTGCTTTGTGATTTGGTTAAGGTTGAATGGATTTATATTGGCTTTCATTTTCGGATTTGTGTATTTTCTTGGATCGATTTTGTTGATTTGGTTGGTATTCCTTTATACATATTTAGACATAATGATTTCTTAAATTTACGCAACAATATTCTTTATTAATCCCCCCACCTCCGAAAGAAAAAAAAATAAAAAAGTAGTAAATAAACCGATAAAATCCTATTAGTTTTACATATTTAGACTCTGGCTTTGATGTAGAATTTTGTTTATTTAGAATCGTGAATTGGTTTTCGTTGTTTTAGGTTATTTAACAATATTTCAAAGGAATATTAATAGTATAGATAGTGTATACGGTACTATATACTTACTTCTTTTTTCGATGGTTATATTTATATTGACTACTGCTTTTGATTTCGGTTTTCTGCGATTTGTTTTGTGCTTTGGTTTAAGTTGATTCGATTTTTTTTGGCTATCGTTTTCGGATTCGTGTTGTGTCTTGAATTGGTTTTGTTGTTTTGATTTTAAAAAATATTTAAAATAATAATAATAATGATAATTTATTACTTTAAAACAAGTAGTAAGTTGTTACAATATTGTTGGGCACCCCTCTTTTAAGTAAATGGATACCTGTAGTAGAGAGCCCCGCTCTTCCTTATTACAATTATATTACTACTTAAAATTAGAATTAAGTAAATAACACAAAACAATAAAATAACATTAAAAGGAATAAATATTATTTAAGATATTTTGGATTTGCTTTTAAAAAATTATTTAAAAGGAAATTTAATTCCTTTTAGGTATTTTAACGTTTTTTTATAAATAGGTTTTTGTTGCTCCATAATGCCTCGCAAACGTAAGTCCAGCTTTTCAAGAATATCTTCTCAAAGAAAAGTGAAAATATTAGCTCGATCACTAGAATCTTTAGAATTCGCTGAACTGAGAAGGCAAGAACAAGCAGAGCGTCAGGCTGCTTTTAGAGCATCTGAAACACCTTCTCAACCTCAGCAAAGGCGGCTTGCACAGCCAGAGCGTTAGGCTGCTTTAAGAGCTTCCTAAACACCTTCTCAAAGTCAGGTAAGGTGTCGTGAACAGGCAGAGCGTCAAGCTACTTTAAGAGCTTCTGAAACACCTTCTCAAAGTCAGCGAAGGCGTCTTGAACAGGCGGAGCGTCAAGCTACTTTAAGAGCTACTGAAACACCTGATCAAAGTCAGCAAAGTCGTCTTGAACAGGCAGAGCGTCAATCTACTTTAAGAGCTACTGAAACACTTGCTCAAAGTCAGCAAAGAATATTTAAACAAGCAGAATGTCAGGCCGAATTAAGAGCCACGGAAACACCTGATGAAACTCAACACAGATTCATTGAGCAAGCTGAAAGTCAATCTACTATAAGGGCTTCTGAAACACCAGATCAGACACAAGCGCAAAGAGATGCAAATGCACAGCTCCAAGCTGAACGTCGACAACATTTTCAAATAAACAATTGGTCGGTTTTTAATGAGCAGCATTCAATTATGATCCGTTGATTGATTATAAAAATCACAGGTTATTTGTTAGCGGACTGATGGACAAGGCGTGTCGATTTTGCAGCGCTTTAAAATGGAAAGATGAGACCGCGGGCATGTGCTGTTCCAATGGCAAAGTGTATCTTCCGTTACTTGGGGAACCAGAAAAGCCTTTGAAAACTCTCTTTTTATATGATGCTAATGAGTCACGGGGCTTTTTAAACAGTATCCGGAAATATAACTCATGCTTTCAAATGACGTCCTTCGGAGTTGACCGGGAAATAATAATGCCGGGATTTTAGCCTACATTTACGGTACAAGGGCAAATTTATCATAGAATCGGTTAACTTTTTTCTAGCTGAAAACGAACAGGATAAATTTTTACAAGTATATTTTACGAAGAGAGACGAAGAAATTAAGGTAGACCATCGCTGCCAATTTATCCAGGGAGATGATAGAGACACAGTGTTCAAAATTCAAAGATTCTTGCATGAATGTAACATTTTAGTCAAAACATTTAAAACTGCTTTAAAAAACCTACCAGAAGAGGATTATAAAGTCGTCATTCACGCAGATCGGACCCGTCGAGGAGAGCATGAAAGGCGCTACAATGCACCTTTGATAAACGAAATAGCAGCCTTAATTAGTGGTGATCAATTTTCTTCACGAGACATTGTCTTGCGAGCACGTGATGATACGTTGCAACGGGTAGCCGATACACACAAGTTTTATGACGCTTTGCAATATCCACTGATTTATTGCAAAGGACAAGAGGGTTATCATTTTCAAATTCTACTCATTAACCCGGTCACAAAGGAGATACTCCGAACAAAAAAGTATCATGTATGGATTTTTATGCGTATCATATGATGTTGCGAGAAAATGATTTTAACCTCTTAGCCCGGTGTAGACAATTATTTCATCAATTTTTCGTAGACATGTATGTGAAGGTAGAAAGTGAACGTCTCCGTTATATATCTTTAAATCAAAAAAAGCTGCGCGTTGAGAATTATATACATTTATAAGATGCAGTTTCTAGCGACGCCAATGTAAACCCCAGAGATTTAGGTAAAATGGTAATTCTGCCCTCATCATTTGTTAACAGTCCCCGCTACCTACATGAGTACACACAAGACGCATTCGCCTATGTACGAACTTACGGAAGACCTGATCCTTTTGTTACTTTTACTTGCAATCCCACATGGAAAGAAATAACCGAGGAGTTAATGCAGGTCCAAAAAAGTACTGACAGACACGATTTAGTTGCTAGAGTATTTAGATTAAAAGTACAAAAATTAATGTATTTAATTAACAAAGGGAATATTTTCGGAGAGGTGCAGTGCTTCATGTATTCAATTGAATGGCAAAAAAGAGGATTACCGCATGCCCACATTCTAAAATGGCTTAAAGAGAAGTTGCGGCCCAGCCAAATAGACGAC